TCTCTCTCTCTCCCCTCTCTCTCTCTCTCTCTCTCTCTCTCTCTTCTATTTCTCTGTCTCTTTCTGTTTCTCCCTGTTCCTCTGTCTCTCTCTTTTTTGCCAGGTTTGTAAATCAACCGCGATTGGGGTAACACGAATTGTTACCAATGACTAAAGCACTCACGTTAATTATAGTTATCGATACGGTTACTGATCCAGGATAAACAACCCGTCACCCATAATCAGCATACATATATTTTCGTTTACCGTAATGTACACTCATCAAGCGTGGTTGATGTTAATGATTACACAAATGTTGCCTGTAATCACCAGGAATACGCACAACGGTCACGATTGATATTATTGTGATATTAACGGCCTTTGTCATATTTAATTTAATGACACCGCCGGTCGTGCAGATATGGCCGATAACTATTAGAATATCCCCGTTTGTCAGCGATTATTTTCACTCGGATTTATAGTGCGGTAATTAAAATGTTTGCGCTTGGGACGGAAGGAAGGAAGGAAGGAAGTAAACGCGAAATTATCAGCTTCGAATCCCGCTTGAAACGATCTACAACTCGCGACAGAACTTGGAGAATTCTCATTTATGACCTCAATGTGTGCCGTGTACTCAAAAAAGTCTCGTAGTAGTTAACAAATGCTTTTAGTCGAGCGTTTCAGTGCAATGTATGCTAATTAGTAGCAAATATGCACGTAACAGGAAGTTTGGTTGCAATAAACGAACCAACTTGTTTTGTTTGAACAAAACGGGATTTCTGGTACTTAGAATCAAATTTAGATCATGAGAACCATACAGAAATTCTATGTCCTTCAACCAAACCGTGTTGGTTCCTTCATCAAAATCACAAACTTCATTATTGCAACCAAACTTTTTTCTCCGTTTGATAATAATTGCAAAATAATCAGTAAAACAAATGCTTTGTTCAATTGAATCAACTAGATGTTTTGTTACATAAAATCAAAATTTTTAATAATAATAATTAATAGATAGTTTAACAATTACCAAAGTATTCGGCCATTTTGTATATTTATCACAATATATTACTGAACAATATGGCTTTATTTACGACAAATTTTTTGGCGATACCACATGAATAATCATCAAGTTTTAGCAACATATACCAAGCTTTATCTATTTAATTATTTAATATCTTCTTTGTCCAATTATTCATTTATTTGTGATAAATTATTTACTCTAATTATTTGCCAAATTATTTCATTATATACACATATACGTTTAGTTGAAACTGTTTTACCAAAGCATCTATTGACCATTATTCAGACTTGAACCTTATTACTGAACCTTTTCTTCGGTGTTCTCCAACATAAAGAAAAAGTATTTATCTGTAACTTGGATTCTTCATCGACAGAATCTTCTCGCGAATTATAAATCGTCCAAAGCAGTTCTTCGGGTCGCAGAGACGATGAAGAGAAAGTTAAACTTTTTTTGCGCCGTCATAGACTTCCATTGAGAAAGGATGACCTGACCTCACGTACTTACTTCCCTCACTTCGCTCCGTTTCTCGCGGTTGCAACGACGTGTGTCTATTGTAGTCGCGAGTAATGGAACTGGTCGAGTCTCTCGCGCGACGAGTTAACCGCGCGATCTACCGTAACGCGGTAATTCCCGGGAGGGGACGTGCGCGAGTCGTACTACACGAGGGATCTCGATATCTTCAGGCTGAAGATTATGCCGGCTTGAAGGGTAGCTTTGACGAGCACGTCGGGTTATTGGTTCACGGAGAGGACGGCGGCCAGAAGACGGCGATACACCCGGATCCGCGTGGCTTACCGAGCTTACCGCCCAGCTTGGAAGCCCGTCTGCCGCAGTTGGATCAGAGCCTGAAGGTCACGCATGCTGAATGGTTGCCAGTCACCAACACGAGGTACGTACATACGTATGTACGTTCGTGCGGCCGAGCGTAAATTAATCCTGTAATTAGCAGCATCGGCAATAGGCTCGTTGTCTTTCTCTCGCACGGCTCAAGCTCAGCACGGCCTGTCAAATTTGCGCTAGCCACGCGATGGAACAAAGGTCGTGCCATTTCGCGCTGAATTGCCTCGTAAGACGTTATTATTAAATTTGGCTTCACCGCCGTAGGCGTTAAAGCGCCCGTCCTCCTACGCCTCGCGCACTTAATTGCGGAGTCGTTCGATTCTTCCGCGTAGAAAATAAAACACCAGTTAAATTAGCGCGGGTCGATCGATCGCGCCTGAACTAACTTCGTTATTAATTATCACGCCGTGGAGCAATGTTTACGTGCGTGTTACACCCCTCGTGTTCGCCGCACGAGATGCGCGTTTCTACATGGATTGTTCAAAAAATACGTAATTTGATACAGAAATACAGTGAAATCATTTTGGTACTTGGAACTAAAATATCTGGTACACACGATTCGATTGGTATTATTGTGTTTTTCACTTGTTTTTTACGTGTGTTATTGAGAAAAGCACACTTAGCGGCGATTAAATTTTCTAGTTGCAGTCGCCAAATATTTGATCAATCTCGTTTTCATCAAATCATGGTCCGATTTTCCGAGTCAAATTTCCGTTTCGACAACATCTTTTTTTTAGTGTTGCGCAAATTTGGCAAATCTTTATTACCACATTTCACAGTTATACTCTATTAAGTTAAATATAACAGTATAGAATGATCTATCGATGAATCTTCGGTTGAGAGTGCGCCAAAGAGTAAACTCTGCGAGAGATGGGTCCTACATTCGGTCACATCAGCGAAGACTGAACTGAACAGTTTTATTGTTTCTGACAGATGATTCTCTGCCGTAATCTGAAGGACTTTTTTCAGCACCGATTTATAACTATCAATGAAATCTTGGTCTACCACTTTACCCTAAAAACAAAGGAACAGTCTAAACGATGAACACGCAAAGACACTTGAGGTATTTACTTTGGCACACTGTCAAAGATTAATCGACAGATCACTTTACATTGTTGTACTTAACTTGATAAAGAAAGGTTCTAAAATAAGGCAATAAACATTTGGCCAAATTCGCGCACTGTCTTTCTGTATTAAGCCATGCACTTTTGAAACGATCCACGTAAGTATCCCGGGGTAATTCTATTGTATTGCGCGGGGGATCGATTTATCGGAAATTTTTCATCCCACTCGACGTCTCGTATCGCACGGGAGATTTTCGAAATATCAATCTATCGAAAATTCGATTTCATCCTACGGTCCTATTCGCGTCAGTGTCGGTACGTGGGCAACACAGAGGGGGTTTTGGTTACCATTCCCGGTCGTATTATACTTTTAGACAAGGTGAGTAATGAATTATGCATCGCATACGGGAGTTGGTTGAACGGTCGCGTTTCTGCCTCGTCCTTGCAGGTTCAAATTCTTCGTTTACTCGGCGTACTTCGACGACAGAGTCAGCGGCGCTGGCGGCCCGGCGGGCAAGAGTCAGGGTGTGGTGCGTGTGATCAGTGCTACCAAAACCAGAGGCCCGGAGCGCGTCTGGTGTAGGCTTTGGTATCGACAGCAGAACGGCGCGAATGTCACTGCCTCGGTAACGGTAGCTGCCAAAGTTAAGGTACGCTCCTGTGTGTGGTGTCAGGCTTGAGGAACGATCCTGTCCCCGAGACGCGTCCAACCCGTCCGACATGGGAACCATTAGAATAGTCGCGCGCGCGTTTTCCTTTCCCGGCTTATCGAATTTCCACCCACTCCTCGAAAATTTATTATTTTCCTCGTCTCGCGCGCCCGCCGAGATAAATTCCCGCGCGAATGTTATCGACGTGGCAGTCTGATTCGGAGTTTCGTTCTTGTCTCTCCGCGCATTTCTCCGTCGGTTCTTCTCTTCTATTTTCGAGACACTTGATTCTTTATTAAGTGTGTGTATGCGTGTGTGCACGGAGGAAATATTGCAGTAAAAGTTGCGATAAAATTTTTGCAGTCTTAGACCATATAGAATTATATATATATATATATATATATATATATATTAATATATTATTACTATTACTAAATACATAGTAATAATAATATTACTATATATATTTGTTTAAAAAGCTTATGCATGTTTAATTTTTTTGCTTACAAAATTATTGTAACTGAATGTTTTTTTATGTCATATATTTAGTACATGGAGGAAATATTGCAGTAAAAATTTATTCAATAATAAAATTTACTTAAGAATAGAAATTTACTTGATAATAATAATAAATTAAATTTATTTAAGACTACAAAATTTTTGTAATCTTGGATTGTACAGAATTATGACCGAAATTACTGTATTTATTAATAAATATTCTGCACTTTTCGCTACAAAATTATTGTAATTACTTGAAAATGTTTTATATGTACGAGGTAGATCGTCAGAATTTGTGTTCATTAATTATTTTAATTAATTAATTATTTATATTTCTATAGTAATTTATATACTACAATTCGGTGCAGTTTGGCTCTACAAGAAACACTGTGAAGTGAAATATAATTGTACCGTAATTTTTCCTACGATACTTTCTCCATGTATATTTAACCGTGCGATCGATCGAATCGTCTTGGTGGTATTTGCGTCATTGAAAGAAGAGAAGGAAGGAGAGGAAGCACGATGAATTGTTTGTTTGTTCGTTCATTTTATATCGGCGGTTAATTTTTGTTTGTTCTGACGCACCCCTCACGTTCCTGTCCCGCTGTTCAGGTGTTGTCGTTGTCGCGGCACGTGGCGAATCCGCGCTGGCTTTCAGGTGATCAGGGAGAATTGGAATCTGAAGTACAGTGCCTGCTTCGTGATATGTCCGTTGCCTAAAGAGTCCCCGACGGCGGACAAGGTGCCGGAGGCGGTCAGCGTCGTGGCGAGGCTGCGAGCTGCCCCGACGAATCGCATCCTCGTGCAGAACCGTCTCGAGAGCAGAACAAACGACAAGGAAGCTCTAGCCGTTTGCGTCAAGCCTCTGCATTATTATTACAACAGGGTATGTCGATCGCGCGCGTAACCCGTCGGGTGACCTTTGCGCCTCTCGAGCGATTACTTAGACTTCTCGCGAGGTGTGGGATTTCATCCCAATTCGAAAACAGTCCCGCCGGAATGTCCTTGATTGTGTCTGCCGTTTAGAATCGCGATTGTTTAAATGAGTTACGCAGGAAAAACGAAGTCTCTGTGTGCTGTGAGATCGCGACAAAGCCAATCGTCGTCGTTTTTTCGCGCTCTCTCGTCACGCACGTTTCACCCTGTGACATTCGTAGGTTTTGCAACTGGTGGAATTTATCGAGTTACACAGACTTCTGGGCGCCACCCACGTCACTCTGTACAATGACACTGTAGGCGCGGCGGCCGGCTGCGCGCTTAAATATTACGAGAGCAAGGATCTGGTTACGGTGTTACCGTGGCATCATCTGGACATGATTTCCCAGCGGGAAATTCGCACGGAGGGCCTCTTCGCGGCGCTTAACGATTGCCTGTACCGTTCCATGTACAAGTACGAGTACGTGGCGCTCGTGGACCTCGACGAGTACATTATACCGAGGCACAACGACACCATAATCGACCTGCTGCGGTAAGCCTTCTCGACCTTAGTGCGAAATGCACTTGTCGCTGTCGCATATATGCCGCACTGAGAGAAAAATGTTTGGTACTTGTATCTATATAATCACATAGAGAAATAATTACTATAAATTATGGTGAAGAAAACTATTTCTTCTCTGTCTCTCTTTCTTTTTATTAAATTCAATTGTAACATTGGTGATAATAATCTTGTATGCATGTTACTACTACAATTTTTGTGCTAGAGCAACTAAAAAAATATTATTGGGCCCAGAAATAATTATACTTTTAGTTAGATCAACCATTTTGTTCTCTCGGTGCATATATTAAGATAACATGGGGGAAACTGCTACGAATGCTACATTTACATTCTTGATGAGTCACAGAGAAAATATAAGTGGTTTCAAGTTAAATAATACTGCATTAAAAGTTGCTGTTGTTGTATGCACATCCATAGAGCTCTCATAGCTTTTATGATACATAATATTTAGTTAGTATATCCTTGTATAGCATCATATATATAAATTCAGTCTTAATTAAGGGAATATCGCTGTCTCTCTGTTATGGTCTACAGAACAAATATTATGGTTGAGAGATTTATATAGGATTTAATTACGCTGAAACATTTACGAACGCGAGTAGCAAAAAAAGCTAGTGTATTACTTCTAGAGTACTACGGTTATTGCAACTATTTTGTATGCATTGGCGAAGAATAACATTGATATTTTGTTATGACAAATATACATATATTTTGGGCAAATGATATCCTGAGTGATATCTCCTTAATGACGAAAAGAAAAGAGAGAAATAGTACTATCGCTCGCATCGTAAGATTTACGTTCGTATGCATTGGGATATGATCGGCCCTCCGGGAGAGAATTGAGGCGTAACTCGTCGCGGAATCGTCTGGTGACACTCGTTAATTTTTTCCCCTTGCTCGCGAGCGCCCAATTCAGACTGGCGCGCGACGTTCCCGGGACGCGCGAGAGCGCGCGTTAATCTCGCGGCGAATTGCTTTTGCCAGGTGGATGGGAAATCGGATCAATATCAAGTCCACGGGCGCGTTCTCCTTTCAAAACGCCTTCTTCTACCTGCAATGGGCCGACGACCCGTTTGTGCTGACCAGCCGCACACCCACCGAAGCCGGCCTGATCACCCTGAGGAAGACGCGCCGTCGTACCAAGCTGCATCCGCACAAGCAACGTTCCAAGTACATCTGCAAGCCGCAGGACGTGGTCGAGGCGGGCAACCACTTCGTCTGGGAGTTCATCCCGGGTCACGGCACCCTGAACGTGCCGTCGGACGCCGCGATCCTGCACCACTACCGCGTATGCGAGTTCGGCGGCGACGACTGCATCAAGACGCAGTCCACCGTCGACCGCACGGCCTACAAGTACAAGGACCGGCTCGCCGCCAGCGTGGACAAGACGTGGACGGAGTTGCGCGCCGAGTGCTCGCTGCCAGAACTCGACCCGGTCCCGGTGTTGACGCCGCGAATCAAAGTCAGCCCGTTGGGCAAGTCGGTGAGGTAGCGAAAGACCATCGTCGAGATCCTCTGGGACATTGGCAATTTTACCGGCACACCGAAAGTCGCGAGGACCTATTTCTACAATTACGGCGCACCTTAGTCCTCCTCGTGACCGAGAGGGTGACACAACACCAGGTGTGTCCCCGCCGTAGTGTCTTTTTTACGGAAAATTGTCGTCGCGAGCGTCGAGATTGTCTCTCACTTCCTCACTCACTCACTCGCTCGTTCTCTCGCGACAGTCGAACGCGTTTTCTTCTTTTTTGTTTTCCTGGTTTGTATTCTTGTTTCTACCTCTGATCGACGCGAAGAACGCGTTTTCGAGTTCGCGCGAAGAAAGGAATGAGGCTGTATTACGCCTATCAACGAAAGTTGACGGAGACTGTCGCAAAACTACCTAAAGAATGGGCGCAACGCTTGTCCCGAGACGCGGATTAATCATATTTTTCTACGTGACGGATTTCTGAGCGGGGCCGGGGCGAAGTCCGGAAGACGAGTCGCCAACGAGTCAGTCGATCGAGTTTGTCTCCCTCGACGCTGCTACATGGTGCTTTCTCTCTTACGATTTTATACGATCTCTTTCTCGTGCCGCGACTCTTTTGTTCGCGCGTGGTCGTCTTGCGACAAATCGTGCTGTCTGCAAACGAAGATTTCTTACGAAGGGCCTAAGTCACACGGTCTACAGAAGAGCAGCTGGCGATAAAAGAAAGAAAGAAAGTCGAGATTTAGATATTACTACCCATAATTATACCGTTGTTTTTCGAGCGAACTTTACATCTTCCGTTCCTTTCTTTTCTCTTTCTCTCTCCCTCTCTCGGGAATACTTGTAAATCCGCACAACGTATTAAACAAATCTTACGCATATCCATAGAATCGATATATAATTAGCATAGTGACATATATGTATAATATGTATCTAGGAGTGTTAGTAGGCACTGAATTTCTCGGGGAGGCGGCGTAGGACGCGCGCGATGATCTCAGAGAGAAGTGTTGTCTCTCTTTCTCTCTCTCCCTCCCTCGACGTGCGTTATCTGCGCCGCGGACGGAGGCGCGAATGTCGCCGAGAGCGTGGATTTATTTTGACAGAGAGGCACTAGTCGAAGTCTTTCTCAAGATCTTCTCCAAGGGCTTACAAAAAACTTGGATTTAGTGTGTAATTCGTTTGTTTTACCTCGCGCAACGGCATTTTGCCCGGGCAGCGCTGCAGTCGAGCGAGACTGCACGCTTTGTGATACGATGAACTTGTCGTGCAATCTCGTTGCAGCGTTCGCGAGCGGTGGCGGGTTCGATTGCAGAACCGTCAATCCTCCGCCGGACAAAGAAACGACAAGAAGGAAAAAAAAACGAGAGAAAAAATAATATCGTAAATTAATACGGGACGAACTTTTTATATATATAAGAGAGAGAGAAGTTAGTTGTTCTCTTTTTTCTAAATGAAGGGGAGAGACACTAGTAACGGCCCGGATACGCAGAAAAATTTGAGCAGTTAACAAAATTTACCATTTGCGATCGATTATTTTTTGGTTGTAAAGAAAATTGTTGACTGCGATTGGTCTAATTTTCTTACAGCTTAAGTTCTTCCGCGTATGCCCCGCCTAAGACGCGTAGGATGTCGCGAGGTTCTACGAATATATCGCCCGACCCGTCGTTGCCATTTTGCAATTGTTCGAGGAACGGACAAGCACGGAAGGGTTTCTGTTCTGTTTTTTCCCCCGCGCACGCGGGACGCGCGGATGAACTTAGACGGATAAAATGTTTCGAGTAGATACACTTGCGAGGCGATAGGTGGAGGAAGAAGAGGAGGAAGAGGAGGAGGAGGAGGAGTAGGAGGATCACAACACCGGCAGCCGAATCGATACTTTAGCGGACGAGCCGAATGCCGCCGCCGCGGCGGCGGCGGCGGCGGCGATAGGACTCGTCGACGACGGCGAGTATAGCGCAAAAGTCTTTCTATTTCTTTATTGATACGAAGAATCATGTTTCTTACGCGCACGTTTTATGTATATATGTGTATACACGCATGCGAACGTACGTGGACGCGTACATGGCATATAAGGGTAGATCTAAGTGACGTATGTGTGATCGGTGCTGAGGTCGGCGCTAGCCGATCGACGTCGACCGTGGCTTGAGTCGACGGAGTTAATAAATATGATACTAGGACAATATGCACCTGGATTCCCTCGCCTCCTTCTCTCCATCTCCACTTGAGCGGCCGTTCATTTTCCCGCAAGTAAGGTAAAAGTACCGAACATGTATCTGAACATTTTTTTGTTTTGCTCTTTAAATACAAATTTAATTTAATTTACAATATTGAAATTTTTAACATAAAATATAAAGTCTTAAGTCTGTACATTCTATGTTTTGAAAGCTTAAATATTCAAGTTTAAATCACAAAATCAAAATAATAAGGATATCCAGAATTAGGTATATGTCCGAGAATCGATACTTTTATCTCACAGACGTTACTCGCGTATCTCATTTCCATATATTGTGTATATTTTTATGTCAACTTGTGCTCCGAATATACATTTCCCTGTATATCCATATGCAATTTTTCCATAGAAAAGTATGAAATACGGAAGGCGGTGGGAGTCGCGGGTTCCGTCGATTAAAAGTCGTCGTCCGAATGATCTATCTTGCTGACGGCCCGCTTCTCTTGGCCGGCTTTGAGATTGTAAGTGCCGATATCGGTCGCTCCAACGGAGTTGAGGAGATCCTCGTCGTCGTCGTCATCAAGATCACCGTCGATCAGCAGATCACTGTCGCTGTCCAGCGAGCCGTCGTCGCTGTCATTCGACTCTTGGATCGTGCCTCTCTGTCGGCCGGACATGCTGCCGTATAGGCGTCGTTGAGAGTACTGCATCTTCGACGTCCTTCCGGTCGCTAAAGTTGAAAGTTCCCATTTATTTTCATAGGTAATTTGCGAAAGAGAAAAAATATTTTATATACCGAGTTTCACAACAGTTTCAACACTCTTTAGCACAATGCGACTCGAAACGCTGTCAGTAGTCTGATGAGAGAACTTGGTTTCTGGGAACTAATAAGAAAAGGAAGTCTTTCATATTGGACTAACGGCATAAATTGCATCGGAGAAAGAGTGTTCCAACCGTATTGAAACTCAGTATACAGCGTATTGCAAAACGGTTTGAGTATAATGAGGTTGGGAGCTCATAAAACTGTTAGAATTGAGAGTCATTACTATGACGGGTTTGCCCGATAATTACATAATTAATTTTTATTTTATTTTGTATATATATTTTTTATTATTATGTATTAAGTATTATTTATTCTTAGTTATATTATTATTGCATAAGTTCGTCGGGTAATGATTCTCAATTTTGACAGCTCCCAACTTTATCGAAATCGTTTTTCAATCTATTGTTTCTTCCGTTGAAATTGTCTTTTTTAATGTTTTTTTCAATGTCGCCTGAATTATATTGTAGAATAAAATGATCAGTACCTGGTTTCACGTGAGCGGATCGACCGGATTTCTCCGCCGCCGTTGTTTCTGGGTTTGTCAAGGGAGTGACCAAGGGCTCTTGGAGATTCGTCGCGAAGATCGAGTCGTTCCCTTCCATCATGCTTTCAAAATTCGTGTCTTCGGATCTCATTTGCTCCAGTTGCTTCTTAGTCGCGGCTTGCCTGTAGCGATTAATGGTATCAAACTTATATATCTTTCATTTCCATATTTATCGCGTATACATACCGTCTCTCGAATCTCTCTTGCTCTGCCTTAGCCGCATCTTCGTACAGGTGCTCTAGATACGCTAGATACCGGAATTTCTGCAAGTAATCGTCGTACAAAGCCCTCAACTCAACTTCTAGCTTCTCGAATTCCTCCATGAAAGCTGGACGAACTTTCTTCAATGTTTGGAGTCTCTTTTGATTCCTGTCGAGCTCCGTCCGCCGTCTTTCGGTCCTCGCGTCTAAGTTTTGCTCCGTGTCCTTGCGGAACAAATGCCGAGGAATAATCGTCGTCGTCGGGGGAAAGATATTAGAACATTTACATGAAGAGAATACGGAGATCTTACGGGGTAAGTGTAGAACAGAGAAAAAGCCACACCTTGACATTGTCGATCTGCTTTCTGGTGTCGTCAATCTCTTTACGCGTACTGTCGATCACTTCTTTTAGAGCTACTTCGATCTCCGACGTGTCAAACTGCCTGGCAACTTTGGTATTGCGAATTTCACGGAGCTCCACTTCTCGGCCGAGCAGGTCGAAAAGGGTCGCTCCGTTAATGGTCAGTTGACTGGCGAGCTGTCGCGTCGTTTTCAGCTCGTTAATTTTATCAGATATGTCGAAATTCACCGCGCTCTGATTGCTGCTGGGTCGACTTTGCTCGACGCCGCTACTGCTGCTCTGCGCTTCGTACAGCAGCACAGTCATTTTCAGCATCTCCTTCACCGCGTAACCGTCGGCTTGATATAGCTTCTTCGTATTTAACTTGACATTCGTCTTTAACGCCTGCAAAAATTCACGATTACAAATTATCCATGTTTCCAAAGTGACGTTTACGGGATGTCTGACGCAAAATATGTCCCATACATATAGACAAACTGAGTGCAAAATTTCTCCATCGTTTTGTAAACAACCACGTAAAATTTTGTGTTATTAGTTAAAGAAGATTGGCGGATGATCGTGCGTTATAATGCATCAAAGGTCTTTAATTAATAACTAAAGATTCACATGATTGTTTGGAGAATGATAGAGAACTTTTTTGTTCAGTTTGACTGAAACACACACGATGGTAAACGTCACAGCTCATCCATCTACCGTATCGCGTGTCATCATTTATCAAACTTTTTTTAATAAATTAATAGATTAATAACTCAAAATTGTACGTGGTTATTTGGAAAATGATAGAGAACGTTGTTTAGCTTGACCTAATCTACGAGCTATCTACGAGCTAATCTCGTATAAGCATACGACGGCAAGCGTCGCTATCACAATCCATCTGCTGTATCGCGCGTGATCATTTATCAATCATCCTTAATTATAAGTCAATATTTTATATGATTGTTTGCAAAATAATAGAGGAATTTTGTGCTCACGTAATCTATATATACACGAGGAATAAGATATTTCACGTCTGACATTTTGTATAACGTAATTTTGAATCTGCGCATCATTCTTTTGGTTGATATAAAATTGATATTTTTTTAAATTGTAATAAAAAAGTCGCCCAACAGTTTTGAAATACTTTGTGGAAATACAGTAGGTCGCAAAATAATTTAGACACAACGAATTTCAGAGCGTAGCCGATGGTTTAATGAGGAAGGGGTACTTATACTACAATTCTAAACAAAATCGTAAAACTCGTAACTTGTTTTCGTAAGACTCGTAAGAACTTATGAGTAGATCTGCAATTCTATGCGGACCGTATGTCATATGATAACTCGTAAATATCTACGATTTTTTTTGTAAGCTACGACTTTACGATTTTACGATTTATTCGTATATTTGCTTAGAATTGCAACATTAGTTTTGATTAATTTGTTTTCTTATTGGATCATTGACTTCGTTCTGAAGTTCGTTGTGTCTAAACCGTTTTGCGACCTACTGTAGTACATGCGTGGAGGCTGTTCGAGTATCTCAATGACAAAGAAAATAAAAATATATATAGATATTACTTAAGTTGAGAATTGAAAAAAATATATATATATATATATTTAAATAAATATTATGACATGCGTCATTATATTATGTAAATGTTTCGTTACCATAAACTCGGCGATGGTGCGTATCAATGCCACACGCTGCTCCTCGGTATCGTGATCGCTAGAAATATCGACGTCCGGATCGAAGCGCTTCACCAGCCAGACCAAGATCTCCGCGACTAGAGCGAAGTTTGGCACGCGAAAGTTCGCGATGGAAATCAACCTCGGGTAGCCTAGCACCCTCATCATCTCCGTGAAATCTACGCAAGCAAACAGTTGTGAGGTGTACCTGCGTTACGATCTCGTTCGATTTACGCGTCCATTATACGTATAGAAATAATAAGATACTGAATTACGTACTACGTAAATCGCGGTAGGACATTTTTGCGCGAGGAAACACGACATAAGACTGAATCACTGTGATCGAAACGCGCTTCCATAGTCCGTGTGTTTTCCTATTGGCGCTTCAATGTTACCATAGAGACGAACCACCTGTCTGGCAATAAACAAGAAGGTGCGTTCGATACCAGGGAAGTCGATATTTTTCGTGTAAATACTCATGTAAATAATTTCCCATGTAATTTCTTATATAAATAATATAAAGATTTTAGAGAGCATACACACTATGGGATCCTTATCCTAAACTCGTTTTTACCGACAAAAGAGTCTTTAAATATGCTTATAAGTCAATCAGAAGGCTTAGAGTCACACTTAGAGGCACTTTTATCGATGAAAGAAAATTCAGAATAAGGACCTATGGAATTACGTAGATTCACAATTAGACTTAGGGTGTAAACTTTTTTTCTTTATTATGTCATTATTTTATATATCTGTGTATACTGTACAGTGCTTAAATAGGTAAATTAATTGAATTAAGTTTTTGTTAAAAATCCATTGGTACAGCTTTTCTGCTTTGCTTGATTAGAGAATGAGCTCTCTTCTCATGTAGCCTCTGCCTGGCGGCTCTCAATAAGTTCTTCCTCTTTTTCTCCTCTGTTTCGGGTGATGGTTTTGGTGATTCCACCAGAGTAGATCTTATCATTGTCCTTAGCTTTTCCAGGGCATCAGCTAGATTTAAGTGTTGGGATCTTGTTAAATCTGACTTGATTATCAAGTAACCATCCTTGTTTATTTTGTTTTTATTCTGAAATAAATTTTATGATTTTATAATCTTATAAGTAGCTGTTCTTAGTATTGTAGAGATGCTACATCAATTAGATGTATGTACTAAACATAACTTTAGGAATGTTAGAAATTTTTATTCATGAAACAACGGTTCTTATTTCTAACTATTTTTTATCGATAAAAGTATCTCTAAAAGTGGCTCTAAAAGTAGCCACTTATTTAAAGGGCTTATAAATCACTTTTAGAGGCACTTTTGTCGAGAAAAAGAAAGTTTAGAATAAAGACCAATTTTTACTTACCTGTTCTGCTAACTTTGTTCTGATTTCTTCTGACAGCCAGGTAGCAGTACTCAGTTGGAATCTCAGATCGACTTTGGTGTTGACACGATTGACATTCTGTCCTCCTGGTCCACTGCTGGCACTGTATGAAATTTTCAACTTGTTCATGGGTATGAAACCATTGAATTTCAAGTTGGGATCTGGTACCTGAGGAGCAAAGGAGCAATCGTCAAGATTCTGTCGCCGTAGAGGTTATGTCGCTCTAAGCGTCGCGTCCACGAGTTCCAGAACATCGTGACTCAGAATGAAGTAAGTCCTCTATTCATTATACACGAATATTTTTAACTAAATTAATATGTACTAACAAAGCTCGGAGTATGCAGTTTCTGTTTGCTTTCCGGGTATAAATTCTCTAACGACACGGCACTCTTAAAACCAGACACTCCACTAAGATTGTAGGACAAATTTTGATCTTTCACGTTATTTCGCAAAATTCTCAAACATTGTCGCCCGATGAAATTCATTTTGACTTCCGTCAACTTATATTGCTCGATGGAGACTCTTGGGATAAAGTTTTGTTATCGTGTGACATAACCACACTCTCGCGAGAGTCGCCATCGTAGTTCGAGAATCGACCGTCAGGAGTCGACTGTCGAGGCGCGCGTTCGATACTTCTCGAATTTTGAAAATCGCAAGATGTCGCGGTGACACTTCCTTCGCGTGGATGCTCGTCTCGGCAGATTCGAAAATGACCGCAAGGTAATTCATAATTGCGAAACTGTCTGAATCTCGCGTTCGCAAATAACAACGTGATACATGTTGCGTGGCATATCTGGTTGGAGAGAATTGTCCTCTTCGTCGTCATCCTCGCGTACCGCGTCGGCTGAATTGTCGGGAAGCATCGTCTCGTTTCAATAAGCCAAACCGCCATTACTTCGCGGTCGCGCTAAGACCTTTAACGGGCTCATTGTCGTCGTGTGTAAGCTTCAAGTATTGGCGCAATCACGCGATTTTGCAAGCGTCCGCGGATTGCGGCACCGAGCACATTCTGAAAATCACGGTAATAACCGATCCCGCCGCAAGGACACGGAACTCCGCGACGCGACTGTGTTTTTCCCGGCGAAATACTGTGACAAGGCTAACGCTTTACAGGTTAATGCTCCGGAGGCGAAAACCATCAACGCCCCGTTCGCCGCGGCTTGGTTTCTACGATTCATCGAGCGTGGCGCGATTCGTCGGCACTGAGCTCCTGACGGCGAGCCATTTGGAACACAGCCGACCTCAACACCTCGTCAGGCGACGTCGTCATCGGAGGTCAACGACGATGGCGCGAGTTATGACACCTTGCGCAGCTGATTCCGGTGAGTTGTTCTTTGTAAATTCCAACATGACTGAAATAGAAAATGAGCATTCTCTCAGGTAGGATATTGATTCACTTGCATCCACAGCCGGACGATACGCGCCTGTGCATTTAAGTTATGTTTTATATCATTCAGATAATCTCTGAATTTTGTATCGATATTTCTAGTTTTGTCGGCAAACAATATATGAAAATATATTTAATAATTTATCTCAAGTTTATTTATGTATGTATCTTACAATAAAAATGTAGATTGAAGTAACCCGAATTTTACTCATGGGACGCATGCTTTAAGACCCGTATTAATAGTTGTTACTTGAAATTTGTTTCAGATGAAATACTCAGACTTTTATTTAGAGTCAAATCCAAGTTTTTCAGTTGAATTACATGACATTTACGTCTGTAGTTGCGATTTAATGGAAAATCTCTAATCTAACTCTAAATTGGAATGTGAGTATCTCATTTGGGACGAGTTTAAAGTAATGACTATTAATACGGACCTAAGACACTTAATATAGAAAAGATAAGAGATGCACTGTAAAAATACTTGTAAAATATTACAGCAAAAATATTTGTGAAATAAAAGATATTTATATTTTCGGTGGGTACCAATAACACACATTTACTTAAATCTACATTCTTTTATTTAAACAGAATAAACAAACATTGCTTTCTTGAAAAGCAACGATTGTAGGAAAATGTATATGTTTTCATTTGAGAGAAATTTTTTTCCAATGTAAAAATATGCATATTAATACAATATGTTATCAGTGCATATCGCATAAATATTTTCTACCTTTTAAATATTCTTTTTTTACTCTTACAAAAAAATATCACTGGCAATGATAAATTATTGGTGCTCAGTAGTATTATTATTCATACGAATAATGAATAATGAAACTACTGAGTACCAATAGTTTATCATTGACCACTTTATCACTGTCAGTAATACTTTTTTGTTAGAACAGCGCTTTAAGAAAAAATACTTGAAGATTTATTTTATTTTAGATTATTTATTCGTGAGATATAAAGTTTATTTTGCAGAAATCGTATGCAAATGTAGCAAGATACAACGAATACATTTTTTTTTTTTAATAGAAGGTTCTTATACACGGAGAAAGTATTACAGTTTTTCTTGGTACACGTTCTTTTTGATTTAGGTCTATTTTTTCTGTAAGATATGCAAGATCTATTTTATTCAGAAACATTTATTAATAAATTCTGTTAGGAACACAACACATTTTTTAATAGTTTTCAGTTTTTAAACTTTGGATAGCACATATAAAAATTGAAAGCTTAAGAAATTATATTACAAAATGTTTATCTATTCCTCTCTCGGGGAGTTACAAAATTCTATATAGTAATTCTATATAGTTTTCTATAAAATCCCTCGAATTTTTCTAATCATTATCTACGAAATAAAAAAGTTCAATCTTATTTATCAGAACGATATTGAATGATGCACGTTTGTTTCACAGAAATAAACTTTATATCCCATAAATAAATGTTCAAGTATTATTTTCTCAGAGAGTGTGCAGATAATTCACACATGTTTCATGAAGACATATACATTAAAATCGCGACAGAAATGCATCGTCGAAGTTTTGTCTCAAGACTGCAAATCATGCGTATTGCAGCGTGCTTGTTGCAACTGAAATGTTAGTTAACGAGAAAGTTGCACGTCTCTCTACTACTCCGTCTGAGAAATCTCGAACTAAAAATAAAAACGAAATTAGCAGTTTCTAGAGAAGTGGTCAATCAGTTATGACTGTGGATGCAAATGGGTTAATAAAAGCGTAATCGCGCAACTGCCGCGGAGAAGGACATTGAATCCCCTCCTCAATAATAGCATTCGAATGCAAATCTTTTATTTGTGCAAATCCGGCAGAGCACGGCTGCGGCGGTGCTTGTTGCCACCCATGCAAATTCGGCGAAATTTCGCCAAGTCGAGCAGGGATTTCTCGTGTCGCAATTGCCGCAAGGACGTCATTCGTAGACGCGCGTTATATTTTATTGGGGAACGCGCGCGGTGCGGAGGGAAGAGGGGAAGGCACGACACGAGAGGGCGCGATACCGCGTGCGTCATACTTTTCAATTAATTTAGCGGAACGTGTTACACGTGTGTGGCTGAGTGCGAGCGCACATAACGAGCTTTTACATAATATATCGGATCTTAATGCCGCGCGGCTGACGTAACGGCCGCAGGCGCGCATCGCGTAAGATTCCGCGCGCCGTTAGATAACGGGATGTCGCCGTCGTTGTCTTTGTCGCGTTGCGTCTATGTCGCTGTTGCCGTTGTCGTGCTGAAACAGCGGACACACGGCGCGAATGGCGGTCCTTCGTGCGCGCGCTAGGAAGAAAAAGATTAGATTGCACAATTTGGCGCGTGATCGCAGCCCGATGGAACGTGCGCTCCGGCCGTGTATGCATTATGGTTGCGAGCTAACCGTATATCCGCGATCTATGCAGATACGCAACGCGCCAGCGCTCTCGCGTTCGTTAGCGCGGCCAACGCAATTCGATAATGTGATCGATTTAGAAGGGACCGAGTTCATGTGTTTCGATGGAAGTTGCCTCGAACACGTGCGTTATTTCGCGGTCGCCTGATCGCGTGACGTGGACGAGGGCGAAATCTTGAATGGAAGTCCGACGTCGATTTGTGATGTTTATCGGAAACCTGGATATGAGTGTCTTATGCTGATCTTTTCAGCTTTAAGATTAAAATTACTGTGCACAGAGCGATCCCTATTTTCCAGTTAGTTTTTTTTTCATGGATATTCTTCTCAGTTTTACTGTAGTTTCAGTGGTGCAGGAAATAGACTGCCAGCATTCAAAAAATGTTTTGTTGGTCCAGGTAGAATTCTAAATGTCACAGTTAAAATTTATCGCTGTTTTTTGTATCTGCTAAAAAATTCTCTGTGGTACGTGAAATTTACAGTAGTAGCATTCTAGAAAATTTAGGTAGGTGTGAGGATTATATATTTGTTTCTCTCTCGTTGCCAGTTTTTTTGTCTACCACAGTTAAATTTTAGAAGAATTAAAGGAAAAGTGTGTCTGACTTCAATCTGAGTGGGCACCACAGAGACGCTTTTTTGTCAAATTTCACAAATAGTTCAGATAGAAATTCTGCCTGTCATCTATGTTGATTAATATTGATTAGTACAAAACAGTAGTATATGCGATATTGCAGTGTTTGCTAGTTATTTATTCATCTTAGCTCTCGTATCTAAATAATTTTCGTTACGATTGCGAGACATTTTTAAATGTGCCATTTTTTGTAACAGCATATATTTTAGTTCCTGAAATATGAATAGTATATATAAAGTAAAAAAAATGATTAATTAGTGCAGAATGTCGGTCTATTCTTCGGTTACAAAATTCTATAGTAATTTTTACTGTAAAATTCTTTCCATAGGACGTCTGATAGATCAAATTCGTAGTTTCGCAATTTTTCATACGTTATGGTATATTTCTGTCAAAACTGTATATATTTTTTTTGTTTCCTATGATGTGCATTATTTAATATCATTTTGTTAAGCGAGATCGAACTTTTTATTTCTTACACGACGGTTAGAAAAATTCTATACAGGAAAATTTTATAGTAAATATATCTTAATATATTAAGTATATCTATATAGAATTTTGTAATTGCGGAATAGATTGACATTTTGGGGCATGATTTATTTTTCATGTACGTTATTTATATTCTGGAGTTGAAATGTTATTAAAAAAATATGTTATTAAAAATTTGCTACGTTCCTAGCGAATTCACATTTAACAAAATAGACAATACAAAATAGACTCCACTGACAATCTTTATTCCAGCATGACCGAAGACACAGCGACATTGAAAAGAATTTATACGAAAAAAAAATTATAATATTCCCTCCGTGTATAAGAAGTCTCTGTTTCTAAAGAGAAAAATTCATTCGCTGTTATATTTGCATGCGATTAAACGTGCTCTCGCAAAAGGAATCAATTAAATCAAAGGGACACGAATTAATTCAATTATATAGGTTCGCTATGCGTTTGTGCCGCGCGTGCAGTTACATAAATGATTGCATCGAGTATTATATTAATTTCGCTCTCGCGCTCGCAGTACCATCCATCCTTCGGCCGCTCTTTCCACTTCTCGAATGATTAACTTCTCGGTAGCATTGTCGTTCTCTCCGGGCACGGAGTAGAAGTTAGATCCGGTTCCGCGAGCGGAACACGTGAGACGCCTCTCTTTGCCTGCATAATTGATCATTAAGACGGTAAAATACCGG